GTCCTTTTTCTCCTTCTTCATGCCCTCCATGTCTCACTGTGGTGTTGGCATTTTTCTGTTGGTTCAGGCTGGGGACACACTGTCCAACGTAGGTGACAGATATTGGCACGTTCTTGTAAATGCAGCCCAGGGAGTTTCTGGTATTTAATGTTTGTAACATCCCACTGAGGGCAGAGCCCCACATGCTGCCCTGCAGGACAGAGCTGGGCAGGGCAGCAGAACATGTGAGAGATAAACAGAATAAACAGCCTTGAAACCAGCACAGACCAATTATGGCTTCTGCTTTGGAAATGGGGCTGAAAGACAGAGACTTTCTACAATCTCAATACCTCAGATTCTGACACCCGCTTATATCCTTGATGGCATCATTTGGCTCCTCCCTCTGGGCGGAGCATCTCACAACAGAATGCTGTGATCTTATCAGTCATGTGGCTAAAAGAATAGGTCTTCCTGGAGGGACTTATCTCTGAGTCACAAGATAAGGAAAAAAAAAAAAAAAGAATTTCAGCTCGAGGGGGTAATGGAATACACCCCAATATTATAACCTAGGACACCACCCCTGGGATGTGGATGCAGTAGTCTGGTCAGAGAGAGAGGGAAAGCGAGATAAGTTTTCCCATGAATCGGCCTGGGAGACTTTAGGGAGCTGGAGAGCAAGAATTCTAACCAATCTGCACCTGGTGTTTGGTAATAAGCTGTTTTGCCCATAAGGTTGCTTACAAATAGGTGTCATGTTAATTAGCCAATCATGTGAAATGTATTGATTAAATGACCAGCCAGGTCCACCTGAATCAGACCAGGGTATAAAAGAAGTGGTGGCTGTGAGCCTCTTAGCCTTCTGGCCTAGAGTCTGTGTCACTTATTACCCATTCCTTACCCTTATGGTGACAATGGGGCAGTGAGCAGCAGGGCTGGGTAGTGGCACATGGAATTAGCTGCTCCTTGCTGATTGTTTATTGTCCATGTTTTCATGTTCAGTGGGAGGAATATTGCCTTGAGCTGGTGAATCCCATCCGTACTGCAGCATCCCATGAACTCAACACCTACATTTTCACTCTTCAAACAGAGGGTGTCAGTGGCTGATCCAGAGTGATCCCTAGGCATGCCCCGTGTGGCTGCCCAGCTCCAGCTGGATCTGTGTGTGGTGTAAGCACAAGCACAGTGACAGAACCTTTGTTCTGGGTTCCAGGCTCCTCTCCTGCAGTCTCCTCCAGCAGCCAACCAGGCAAGGTCTGTGCTGACAAATTAAGCAGTGCCTGGACTTCTCTCTGTTACAATGATGGAGCATTGCACTGCAATTTTTGGCTCAGGTGCATTTCAGGAGCCAGCACGGGGCAGGGACTGTTCCTTACGTGATGCTTGGATGTATCCACACAGGTTTAGAGAGTAAGAATTTAACAGGACAACCTTGGCCATTGTGTGGCCAGCTGTCCTCTAAATGTCCCAGGAGCATGTCCCAGGCACATTTGATTTACAGCCACAGGACATGGGTCCCCTCAGCCTTTTGGAAGCTGTGGTTCAGTGAGGCCAGGCAGCTTTTCTCATCATATGTGGCTTGCCTGGAGAATGGAGGTCAGGAGGTCATTGGTGAATAGGTTAAATAAAGTAGATGCCAGCAGTGAGTTCAGCAGAAGTCTATTATCTGGAATCTATTGGTGTTGATTTTCTGGCCTGGAGCCACCTGAAAGCATCTATCTCAGGGCATTAGCTCAGTTACCATAACAACTCATCTAGGAAAAGCTCCTGACAGCTCCAAGAGCAGGCCAAGGTCCCACGTTGTCTATTGTAGCCACCCCTGGGTTAAAATAAGCATGTCCAGGTTCTTCCCCCTCCTGCGATCCAGCTTCAGTGCCCCCTGTGAGTGCCAGTCCTTACAGCAGCTTTGACATGCTTGGGAACCTGGTTTATTCTTCAGAGGCTGCTCAGTCGAGCTCTCCAAGGGTCCATCTGCTCAAGGATTGATATTTTACCTCCTGTCAGAATAACAAACCCATCCATCCCTGGGGAGCCCGTGGCATTCCCTTCTTGGCATTCAAATGTCTGATTTTTTTGGAACTGCAGAGGGAAACTATGAGTGAGCCACTTGCACAAGGTCCAGTTTGGCTGATGCTGAACTCCTGCCTGGGTTTGGGGTGACTTAAGGACCAATGACAGGCACTCACTCCACACCTACATCACTGCCCTATCAGCCCTGCTCACTGTCACTGGCATTGCCTGGCACGCAGTCACCAAGCACAGCAGGTGTGAAAAACACCGATTACCTGGTTTTTAAAAAATTTTACAAGTTTAATAATAAAAAAATGGTTATAAAAATAATAATACAATTAGAGTAATAAAGTTTAGAGTTAGGACAATTACAAGACAATAAAAAGCAAAGAATTATGGACGTCTGGATGCTCTCAGACACTAAGTCAGGAAAAGCATCCCTTGTGAACAAAGGAATCAGCCTTAAACCAATACACTTGTTACATATTCATAAATCCTTCATGGTTATGCATACATTCTATTCTAAACAAGAAACTCTGTCTGTTATATGGGAACTGTTTCCTTTAATCCCCATGGGGTCTGAGTCTGAGCAAGGCCTGAAGAAATTAGTTTCTTCTGATATGAAGCCATAAATTCCTCTCTTTTGGAAGATTTAGGTGTTCCTTGAAGCGAGTATCTCATCCTAAAAAAACCCAAAAACTTCCCCCCCACATACAGAGTCTCTATGTTTTTTTTAAACTACTAAAGTCTTCATTTTAACTACAAAAGCACAACAAATCAATATAACATAATACATATAGTAACTATCTGTGTAGAGCCATATAATATGCATTTTTCACAGCAGATGATGTTAGACCTCTAGCAATAACAACAACAAAGTAATGGCATCTACACAGTTACACCTCAAAGTAAGTTCTTTACTCTGAGGTTCAGTGTGGTTTTGTGATGCCTGCTCTTTGCATTGACCCTCCTGCTCCTGCAGCTGCTCAGCAATTACTCCTCAGCATGGAGGGGAGACTTTTCACCCCCATCCAACTTTTCCAGCCTTGCCCTGTTAAGCTGAGGCCTGGCAGCAGGCTCAGAGGCACCTCACGGTGGGATAACGAGCCTTTAAATAGCCCTGGGAGTCTCTCTTCTCAGGGAGAGCTAATTAAGCTCTTCACTACATGCTTAGACATATGCTGACCTGGCATGGCCTTAACAGGTCTGCTTCCACCTACCAGATAAATAATACTGGCTTAAAAATATCCTCCTGGAGATGTGTTACTGAGGCAACAGCCAGCTGGGGGGGTTGACTACATCTCAGTGGCTGAAGGTGGTATTTATGTGTATTATTCATGGGCCAAGCTCTCTTCTGGTGTCCTCAGTTAAGTGATTTTTAAGTTCTGAAAGCATTAGTGCAGTTACCTCTGCTGACACCTCACAGCACACAGGTCATACAGTCACACCTGTATTTAGCTCATTTACTTATTGTTCAGCCCAATAAGCTAATTTGACAAAAAACACAGGGAGTTGTTGTCAAAACATTGGTAGGGAATGTGCTCCACAGGATTTGAGTTCCTCCCTGTGCAGTTGCATGGGGTTGCAGCAGATGAAACGGAGCTGATGTGTCCCCCCAGGGGTCTGTCTTGGTTCTAGGGAAAGAATTAATGAATGGGAAATGGGAAATTCCATCCTAATGTAGACTTCTTTCTGGTGTGATGTGGCCCAGCTTACTGGACTTCCCTGTAGTTGTGCTGATTTTTATCAGGTGAGGATTTTGCTCAGTTGGGATAAATCCTCCCTCCTGTGTCATGGTATTTTATGGGACAGATATGCTACAGATGTTTGCTACCAGCAAACCCTTGGCTAGCAAAATCCCCTGAAATTTCAAGTGCTGAAATATGAATCATGTTCTGGGTTTTACAGAAAACCCAACCAGTGACTGATACCAGCCTCACTAGACTGATCCTTTGCTAGAACACGGCAAAAACTCCCACCCCACAGACTTTGAAATTCTCTAAGATCTGATGAAATATTTGCAGCACAGGCTCAGTTTCTTGTCATAAAATGAAAACAGTAATTGCAAACAGTAATTCACAGGAGTCAAAAGACTCAGCCCTGCTCTTAGTTGCAGTTCAAGGTGCAACTAATGAGCTCTTCTAGCAAATCCCAGCCCTGAAGACGTAGCCCTACAAACTTGAAAGAGCTTTAGGCTCTGTTCTGGAGACCCCAGGGGATAGCACTGGGTGATTCCTAAGGGGTTTCAGAGGGGTAACTTAGAAAATAATTTTACTTTGCTAAGTTGCAGCCTTCTATGGAGGGTCTGGACCCCTGTCAGAAGATGTTGATAGACCCACAACCCCACAAAGCCACCATTTAGTACTAATGCCTGAGGGTAAATGTGTTGGGAGCAGCTCAAGCTCTGTCTTACTGCAAACATTCTCAAAGTGCTCCTAAAGCTACAGACTGCCTTTGTTTGAAGATGAAAAATGGATTTCCAGGAGCAGGCACTAAAGAGGAAGAGCCTTGCTTATGAGAAAAAGGCTCCCAGACAGTTGTGGATTATCTGAAGGAGGGTGAAGGCATCTTCTGTGGGAGGATAAACAGGTTTGAAACGCTGCAAGTGGCTTATTCTGAGTTACATAGTGGGATTGAAGAACAAAACCAGCCAGAGGATGAGTTTTGCATTCTCCACATGTCAGGGTCAGTGCCTGCTTGGTCAAATGCCATTTTTGATTGCATCTCTGTAGTGCTCCAAGTGTTTGCCTCTTTTTTTTTATTCAGATAATGCCAAAGAGCACAGCCAGAGCCATGAGGGACGGGGAGTGTGACAAGGGCTGAGGGGAAGCAGATGGAAGAGAGCTTGCCCATGGAAAGGCAGCCTGGCCTTGGTGAGTCCCTCCCTGCACAGCAGCTCAAGGACAGTTCAGAAAGCAGCTCCAAGCGTTTCCAGCATGGTGCCCATGAATAATTAACCCAAACAAAACAACAAACAGTGTTTCCTCATCAGCATGCCATGTGGACCCAGCTGCCAACAGAGGAGTGTGGTGAGACTGACTCAGCTCCTGAGAGCAATGAATCCCTGAAATGCCCAGGAATGGGGATTTCTGTGTGGGCAGAGGAGCAAAAAGGAGCTGAGGAGGGCCCTAGATGGGGACATGGGACATCTGAGCCTCTTCTGACTCCTTCTCAGGATTCTGCAGTAAGTTGCTGGTCTTGGCTTTTGTTTTCCTACATGTGAAATAATTATTTTTTCCCTTTCAGCCTGTGCATCCAGGTGTAAATGACTCAGGTCATGGACTGTCTGGGCTCCAGAATTCTTTCTGTACAGTGCAGCCCCATTTCCAGGTTGCAGGCTTTGTGCAGCAAAAAGTGATCAGTGCCCCAGAGACAATCCTGGAGCTTGACAGCCTCTCTGTGTGCAAAGGACAGGAACTGGTTGGCCTCTGGTACAGCCACCAGCTCAGCAGATCTCAGGGAGCCACAGATACACCAAAACTGCCTCATTTTGGAGCCAGGGTTTATACAGCAATGAGCCTCCTTGTGTTCTTCTATCTGCAGCTGGTCCCTCACTTCCCCCTGCTCCAATAACTTCTGAACCAGCTGACCTGATTCAACCCAATCTGATGGAAAAAGAGAGGTCTCACAGACCCAGCATTCCTGCAATTTTCATGAACAAACAGCAGCTGGGTAGAAGAGAGCCATTTCAGTTAATATTCTATTGAAGGAAAGGTAATGACACCTCTTGCTCCCTGCCTATTTTGGGATGCAGCAGCCAGGTGACCAGCTGGCATTTAGATATGAGTGGTCAATCAGTTCCTGCCCAGCTTCAAACCAACCCCTGCACTTGCTGCCCCTTCCCTGCAAAGCAAAAAAGCTGCTGGAGCAGCCAAGGATTTTGCTGGGAAGGTCTGGGGGGCATCAGGTGCCCTTGAGGATATTGCAGTAAGCTGGGAGCACCAGGAAAGGAAGAAATAAAAAGCAGTTGTAATACAAATCAGAGGAAGAACGGGTTTCACCAGTTCCTTACTCACAGAACAACTTGATTTTTAGGTTCAAACTTATTTTCAGGAAAACAAAATGGATGTTTGACTAATCTCTACAGTATTTTCCCCAGAAAATTCCAGTGACTGGCAGCTCTTACTAAACACCATAAATCTGAATTTGCTGGGTTTTTTTGGCCATGAGAAAACATTTGATTCTTTTTTTTTTTCCGACACAAGCATCTGAAAAAATGTCATGGAAAATAGAATTTTTCATTTTCTTTTTCCCAAAGAACAAAAACATTCCCCCCAGGAACATGCTTGGATTTTGCACAAAAAGAGATTCTGAGACAAAAACCTGAACAAGGTCACAGCTGAACATCTTTCAAGCAACCGGGGTGGACAAAGAATGGGGTGGGACTATGTGTGGGAAGAAGAAATGTGAATTTTCCAAGGTCAACCAACAAGGCAGGTCCTGGTGCTGTTGGGTCAGCAGTTCTGCCACTCCATGCAGTGCCTCTGTGTGTCTGTCCTGAAATAATGAATTTCTTGGAGCAGAGCCAGTACTTTCCTGAGTGCTTGGAAAGTGCCTCACACACTTGGTGCCTGGGTGTAGTCATAAATAATAATTAAAATTAGAATAATGATATTAAAGTGGATGTGTGCCACTGGAGATGGGACACACTGAGTTCTAAATCCATGCCCCCTCGTTTAGTAAAAGGTACAGTTTGCTTCACAAAGCCTGAGAGACAGGATTTGCTTCCCTGGGCTTGATAATCACAGTCTTTTGCTCTGCAAAAGGCAGACTGACCTGAGCTGAATTAGGTCCAGGATCTACTCTAACACCTCCTGCCTGTAGCTGGCAGCTCTGGTCAGCTCTGGAAGGCTTTTTGCAGCTCAGGGGGATATCTGGAAAGACTAAATTAACTGTGGTGGTGTGGGGAGCTGCCTGGACTAATGTGTGTTTTTTTTTTTTTTTTTTTTTTCCAGAGATAGGCTTTGATTGACACTTCAAATCTGCCTGACAATCTTTTATTCTAAGTGCAGCTGCTGCCTTTCTTCAGAGCAGGAAGAGCTGGTTTGGTTGCTGTCCTTCAAATGATGCATCTCATCACATGGCAAAGAGTAGGAAAAAAACCACAAACCACCTAGAAAGAGCCACAGGACCAGCAGAAAAAGAGGTAAAATAACTGGATCTATTTGAGGTATTTCTGCTTTTTTTTCCCTCTATGCCACAATCCAATGCCAGACACTTGAGAACAAGGGCTGTGCTCTGAGGAACAAGAACTGACTGGTTTTTTTCTTTGCTTGCCTGTTTATTGTGTTGTTTTTCCCTGCAAGAGATTTGTTTAATGCTTTGCTAATAGAACTGTGCAACTCTTTAGTGATGAATCATGAAATACCCTGAGCTGGGAGGGACCCACTGGGATCATCAGCCCTGCACAGACACCCCAAAAACCCCACCCTGAGCATCCCTGAGAGCTCCCTGGGGAGCCTGGGCAGTGCCAGCACCCTCAGGGGGAAGAACTTTCCCCAGCATCCAATTAAACCCCCCTGACACAGCTCCAGCTGCTCCCCAACATTTCCAGTCCCAGTGCTGGGAAGACAGAGGGATTATCTCTTTTTACTCTGTGGTTTTACACTGCCTCTTCTCTTTTCCCCATGCAGCCTCTTACTCCTGGTTGCAGTTATCCTTCTGTTTGCTGAGGGGTGGGATCACACCTCTCAGCTGCTGTCAGAATAGGTGGAAGCCACTTTTTAGAGTGGAATTGAGACCCTGGGGGTTTACCTGAGTCTGGCCAAGAATGCTGCATCACCAAATGGGCAGAGGGATGCTTCCAATCCTCTTCTGGACACACCTAGGGGAAAAATAAGTCTTTTATTTCAGATGTCCTGTCTCTCCTTGCTTTCCTAGGTCCTTCAAAACCAGCCAGACTCTTTGGAGTTATGCTTTTCTGCAAAAGGCAGACTGACCTAGCTGGATTAGGTCCAGGATCTACTCTGACACCTCCTGCCTGTAGCTGGCAGCTCTGGTCAGCTCTGTAAAGCTTTTTGCAGCTCAGGGGGGTATCTGTAATGACTGAATTAACTGTGCTGGTGTGGGGAGCTGCCTGGATACCAGAAAAGATGCTGACAGTAAGAACTACTGTGAAATGGATGTTTTCCTTGTCTGTGAACACAGGTGTGGACAAGACCAAGGAGCAGCACTGGAAGGTGTGGTAGGTCCTGAGTGTCCTGCAAGATGGAGAAGTTTGAAACTTCACCCTGCTGCTCTGTGGATGGGACTGTTTGTTGGGACTGATTATCTTTGGGATCCTGCTACTGCTGGAGCATCACACACAGGATTATCCAAAGCACTGCTGTTTGCCTCCTCCTTGGAGCTGCAGCCAGGCCTTTCCAGCAGCTCCTTCTCCTGAGCTTCAGGAGCAGAAGACAAGCCCAGGCAGGTCACCTCCAGCAGGAGCTGTGTTCCAGTCAGGCAGCTCAGGCTGGGGCACGTCCCAGTGGCTGCTCTGTGCTCCTCCTGTACCTGAGACATGCATGCATCAAATGTTTCAGTTCACAGGGCCATCACCCTGGCAGCTTTCCTCACTAAATTCACTTTTTAAAGCTCCATCAGTGTTGTCTCCAGAGGGGATGGAGGAACAGATGCAGCTTGTGAAGTCTGGCTTTAATTCACCCGCCTCATTTAATTCCCTGCCCTGCCTACTAATCAATGAGTCTGCACTAGAGCTGTGGGAGTACCACGGCTTTTCCACATCCAGGAGAATTCAACCCAGTGCCTGAACTCCCAGGCTCTCAAGCAGGCTGGCACTTTCTTTTGAGGCCACTTCTGTGAGAACACCAGGCTTGGTCGTCCAGCCCAAGCTTCCAAAGAAAACTCAGCAGTCTCTGTTGTTGGGTCTCAAGGCAGTTTATTGCAAGTTATCTAATAGATCTTCTCCTTGGGCTGCTGTGGTTTGCTCACAGCTCAGGCAGAGGCACACACACACCCTGACATCCTCTCTGACCCCAACTGCTTCTTCTCTCCCCGCCAGGGCTGCTGATATCTCTTATATGGGACATTACGTGTTACATGGTTACAGTTTTTCCCCAATGCCTATTACCTATATTAAATGGTGCTTTTCTATCTTTTATATGGTACATTACGTGTTACATGGTTACAGTTCTTTCCCAATGCCTATTACCTATATTAAATGGTGCTTTTCTACTCTAAACCAACCTGTGAGTGCCAACATCACCAAGAACATGGAGGCAAGGAAGAAGAAGGAGGAAGAACAGGATCAGCCCACTTTCCTCCATCTTAGAACTTCTGACTCCCATGTACAAAGTAAAAACCCCCCTGGACAGGTGCTAAAACCCCCCTGTACAATACTAAAAAAAATTCCCCTCTGTTTTGTAACTACTTTTACTATCCTATCTAACCCTTTGTGACTGCTTGTTCCACCTCCAAAGTTGGTAACTCATTCCATGGCTCAAACCCAAAATCACAGCTGTTTGCAGCTGCCTGCCAGGGTCTCAAATGCTTCTGACCAAGGCCTGGAACCTCTAAAAATGTCTGAGAGACATTTTGAGTTCCAACACACTTCATTGTGGATTTCCCTCCCCAGAACCCTTGCAGACACTCTCCAGCCCACGGCAGCTGCTCCTCATTTCCTTGCAGGGCAGCTCTGTCCCATTGTCCCCGCTCAGCCTGGGTGACATTCCCTCCTGGAAGTGCTCTCCTTCAAGGGTTTCAGCCCCAGGCTTTGCTTTTTTCACACTCTATAACACTTTCTGCTGGGCTGTGCTGTGTCAGACACGCTGCTGGGGCCATTTCACCTCCCAGGGCTCCCAGTGGGACCAGCAGAGCCTGGCAGGGGCTCCTTTCTCCCCTTCAGCCCCTGAGTGTGTCACTTGTGTGCCAGCAGAGAGAAACACAACTTTCCCAGGCATCCATCTGGGAAAAGTCTGTGAGAAGATCAGAGAAAAGAAGGAGAAACAATTCTTATCTCACCTTGCTACACCTAGTGCTGGAAACATGCAAAATGTGTTAGAAAGATTTGTTCACCAAAAAGCACTTTCTTAATTAACCAATAGTAATAGTGTTTTAAGTAAAAAACCCAATTAATTCAATCTGTAGCTAACTAGTCTATAAAAGAGCAACGGGTTTCTTAGTAAAAATATATTATTCAACCTCCTGTAATACATAAAGCCTATAGAAGTGATTACCTGGCTGCTGTGATAACTTCCAGGTGTCCCTGTCAAGCACTACCTCAGGGCTGTCAGGAAACTCCAGTGAAAGGATTTCTGGCACTTTTTGTTTAAGCAGACTTCCTCTCTCTGTACTGGTTTTTTTTTTTTTTTGGGCTGCTGTTAATTGCAGCAGTGGAATTATTTAATCAGCTGGTGTCAAAGGCTGCCTTTGCCTGGTGGTACCTATTTGGTGACACCACTGCTTTTCCTCACATGTTATAATCTGTACCAGATTGCTCTTTGCCTGCTAAAATGGACAATTAGGTTCCAGTTGTAATGCAAATCACACAGTGGAATAAAAGCTGTGGGGAACAAAATCCCCAGTAAGTAGTTATGCCAGCCTTTGTTATGGTGTGATGGCTTCTGCTCCTGCTCTGTGAAGGATCAGGGGCAGAGAATCTGTTGTGCCTTTGTGTTTTATAGGCACCAGCTCGATGTAAGGCTGCCTTTAGGCACTGGCAGCCCTGATAGTGTGTGTGTGTGTGTGTGTGTGTGCAAAGCTAACAGACACATTCCACCCACACTGGAAATTTGATGATTGCCTTGTTTTTTGAGGCTCTGTTTTATATACTACAGGCCATACCCATGGGGTAATTGCCAGTCTTTGCACAGGGGCTGGGATGATGTGATGAGAGAGGAGCACAGAGATGCTGAAATTTCAGTCTGCCACATCATGGGCTCCTAATCCTGATGGCCTTGTAATTGTGATGCTGTCACTGGTGGCATTGCAGTTGTTCTTCTCACTGTTTTCCATGTGCTAAATAATGTAAATGAAGAGAAATATTTAGATTTGTAAAGGAATCTAAATTTACTGTGGAATTAAACACACAGGAGCCTGAAAAGTCAAATGGAAGAAGTGTGTTTTCATTTAAAATGGCAAGTCATAGCCATGTAAAGTGATATTTTGTTGATACAGCTGCTTTTACTGCAGATCTGCTTTGCATTTCCCCAGGCCATGGGTAACAAAGAATGAAGCTGAATGAAGTTTTCTCATCCTGGAGAAGTGAGGTGGAATATCTGTGTTCATAAAGTGTTCGAGCTGGAGGTCAGTGCTGTGAGGGTTACCTGAGACCCACAGTGAGTGCAGTGCCTGTCCACATCTCATGGAGATCCTGGCTCCCAGGGGACAGCAAGGAACAGGAGTGAGCTGGATGGATGAGCTGAGTTCACAGTCCTAGAAGCTATGGCAACATAACTTGTGTATCTACTCAGAAAAGGCCTTTGCAACCACCATAAATGACTTGAAATGGCCTTATTTTCCTGCTAGCAGTGGAATAAGCAGCTTCAATGGGGAGGAGTAAATCCACTTGATTAGACATGTTGCTGGGAATAACACTCTTACTGGTTATTACTAATAACCCAATCTATTAGTGGCAGTGTGGCTGCTGAAACAGGCAGCTCTGCCAGGGAATAACTGCACTGCTCCTGAAATTCCAATTACAATGGAACAAGGGGACTCAGAAGGGCCTCAAGGGAGGAAACTCAGGGGGAAGCAAAGTCAACATGGAGCACTTGGGTTATAAAGAACGTGTGTGACAAATGAAATCTATCTTTGGAGGAGGATTTCTGCCAAGCAAGGCTGAGCTCTCTCCATCCTGATGCTTTCCCCAGGCCATCCAGGTTTGTGAGTCAGGTCATGAGGTGGTGATGGAAGTGTTGGCATATTGGCTGATCTTCTGGAGGAAAGAGGGGCTTCTACACCTTGGGTGTGCAAAGCAGCTCAAGCTCAGGGCTTCACTGCAGGATCGAGATGAAATTTCTCCATTGAAATCACTGGCGAAGCACCTGATCACCACAGCAGGAGTGTTCTCCCACAGCAACGCCCTGGGAAATTCTCTCTTGGAATAGATCAGATTCTGCTCTTATTTATGCAATTATAAATTCAGTGGAGCTCCATTTGAAACAACTGTTTTCATCTGATGCAAATAAGATCAAGATCTGGCCCAGGCTGCTTTTGTACACAATGGAAACTGACTGAATTATGGAAAACAGGAAACAAATCTAATGTAAATCTGAATGGAAATATCATGCTCTCTGTTACATCAGAATAAATTGGAAGGAAGTCTGTTGATTCTAGTGGAATTCATCGGGATTTACACCAGACTGTGGCTCAGCATTTGTCACTTGGCTGCACACCGACATCAAAACTCAAACCATGGCACCTCATCTGAATAGCTTGGAATATTTTCTCCCTTTTCCTTTATATTTAAGCAGTTGGCTGATTAGGCTTTTCAAACAAATAAACCCCTGCAAGCAGGCATCAACAAATAAGCCTTGCTCTCACAAGCATTTGCAGAATCTTAATGATGAATATGAAGTGCTGAGCTTGGGTTGAGAGTCACTTAAACTTGCTGCTGCTCCTCTGTGCTCACACTTTAGAGCAGCAGGATTGAGCTCACGGAGGGGGGACAGATCTTGACAAAACCATTTTGATTTCCCCAAAGGAGGGAAATCCCAAAGGCAAATCCATTGCCCTCTCTCCAGCAGCTTCCCAGGATGCACAGGATTCACCCTTCAGTAGATCAGCAAAATATTGTCATTCTTTCACTCTTTCTGTCTCCAGGCAGATGGTCAGAATGGAGCCAACCCCATCCCTGATGGACCTAATAGGCAATCTAATGAATTTATTAGGGAATTATGTCACACTCTGCTTCCACAGGCAAGGGGAACATGGGAACCTGTGGCTTCTTTTCATGGGAAAGCAAGAGGGTTAATTAATGCCTGAGCAACAAATTTGACTCCCTTAGTGAAATAACCCTGAGTTATTGTGGAAAAAACACAATATCTGAGCAAGAGCACAGCCACGTCAGCCCTTGCCTTGATTCTTGTGTACCCCAGCTTCTTACTTAACCCAGTTTTTAATCTGTGCTCATGTTTCACTTCAGATCATTAGTAAAATGCATCTTAATTAAAACAAGAGGAGGAGAAGAAGACAAACAAATGAAAGCTCTAAGTCAATTGGATTCAGGGAGGGGCAAAGCCAGTATTCAAATAGAAATCTTGAGGCAAACATGGTAATAACAGTTATGGAGAGTGTATCAAAGGTAAAGAGTTTTCTCAAAATTGGGTGACTTTGCCTGAAAAAAGGGACTGGCTAGAGCCTGCTAGAGTAGCACAGAGCCTGACCTGAAATCAG